CCCGCACCCACAGGGGGAGGGCGGCGACGCTGCCGGAGCCACCTCGGGACCGAGCTGAGCCACCATGGCCGAGTTCCCGTCGAAAGTGAGCACGCGAACTAGCAGCCCCGCGCAGGGTGCCGGTGCCTCGGCGTCTGCTCTGCGCCCAGACCTGGGCTTCCTGCGCTCCAGCTTCGGGGTGCTCATGCTGCTGCAGCTGGTGAGCGCTCACAGGGCACGGGCTGGGGTGTGTCTGGGGTCCCGTCCTTCTCTGGGGTTGCGGGGGAGACTCCGGAGCGTCGCCCCCTCCTAGCACCCAGCATCTCCCCAACCTTGCCTAACCTGAGGCGCTTACAGAATGGACACCCCGCCATCCCGCTCCAACCTTCTCACCACGGGGCTCCCTGCTAGTACACGCACTGGGCACGCGTGATCGGGGTGCCCGGCTCCCACACCCACCACCGCCGCCCGGGGGGTCACCTCGGCCACACAGAGGCGCCCACCTGAGCTGCAACTCCCACCGTACGGCTCTGTCTTTACCTGTCTCCTCCTTCCCTGCCCCCTCTCAGCCAGGACGATCTCCAGCCCTCCCCGGGACCCAGGCCAAGGCAAAGTCCACGCTTGGCCCCCTCCTGCCCAGCTCCAGCGGTTCCGCGCGGTCGCGCTCTGGAGCTCTCCAGTCCCAACTGGAGCTTACACCGGGTCCCACACACGCGGCCGGGCACAGCCTCAAGGGCCCCCTCACGGGGGGCCCTCTGGCTCCCTCTGGGTGACCTGCCGGGTGCCAGCCGGTTTGGCCGGCACTGCGAGGCGAACAATATAGCGCCCAGAGCCGAGGAGGGACTTGTGGGAAGCCAGAGGCTCCCAGATTCTGCGGACTCCCGCGGAGGCCACCGAAGGGAACGCCCCTCCACCTCTGCCACCTGCTTCGGGTCTGGGGTCGTTCCGTTTCTTCCTGTGGCCCCTCTGTATGCCCCACCACTAGCTGAAGGCCCTGTCCACCTTCACAGCATTAGGGTGGACTTGGAGATGGGCTTGGATCCAATTTCCATTACCGTCCAGCAAGTGGGCTTCGCCCGCCGCCCCCTTACTGCTGGGTGCTGGCGAGGCTGCCAGGCCCAGGCCGGAGAGCTGGGTGGTCACTGCGGTGCCAGGCTGAGATCAGGTTTTCCTGCCCACTCCACCCCCCGTAGGGAAGCGCCCACCTCCACCCCCATCCATCCTTGGGTTCCACCCTTTCCCTTTGCGGCCTCCTCCCCCATCCTAGCTACGGAATCTCCTGGAGGGTTTGTTTAAAATGCAGATTTTGGACCCCACCCTGGAAAAAAATGTGAAATTATTATTTTAATTTCAGGAAGCTGCAGCTAGAGATCTACATATTTAAGATTTTTAAACTCATTTCTTAGAATAGGGCTTTTTTTGTTTGGTTATTTGGTGAGATTCAACGTCCTGTGTGTGGGGGTGACACCCTCTTCCAGGACCAATTTAAATCTGCGGGTGGGTGCTGGGGCTACAGCTCAGTGGCAGAGCACCTGCCTGGCAGGTGGAAGTCTTGGCCTCCCCCTTCCCACCCCACCGCAAAAGCAAAATCCTGTAGGGGCAGGTAGAGAGGAGCTACTGACCTGGCTTCCCAGTGCTGGCCTCTCATGGGCAGGTAGATTCCTGCGGCTCAGGGAGGAGCCAGGTAATTTATGAGCCGGCAGCCAGGAGGGAGATCAAGTCTGCCTGGAGGAAGGCTTCTCGGAGGAGGTAGCTGTTGAGCTGGGACAACTCTGAGGCAGAGGCCGGGAAAAGGACTAAGGGCAGGGCACCACGTGAGCCTAGGCTTGGAGACGGGAAGGCTCGGGGAAGATGGGTGAGTGATCTGCTCTAGGGGAAACTGGAGCTGAAGAGCACTTCAGGTTCGCGGTGTGCATAAGCCCAGGGTCCTGTGCACCTCTGCCAGCCTGGGATTGGTTCTGTTGGCAGCTAGGGGTGGGGTGAGGTTGGGACCAAGGATGAGGATGGGTGGCTGTGAGGGTCCTGATCCTGTTAGCCTTTGGCCCAATGAGGATCTCAATAAGGGAGCAAAAGGGACTGGAATGTGGTTTGTAGGGATCTCAGTAACTCTCCAGAGGAGGCTTATATCCCTATCCCATTTTGGGGCTTCCATGAGGGCTCAGCATCTGTGTCCCCTCGTCCAGATGTAGGCACTGAGGTCAGCTCCAAGTCGTGTGGTGGAGCTTGTGGTTAGGTCACCAGTCACTTAGCAACTGGGTGTGCCCTGCAGGCGGCTTCCTTTACCCCCGCCCTGTGCTCTGGCTCCTGTCAGTCTGGAAACAGCACCTCAGAGCCTTCATAACTGTGCTGGAGAAGCTACTTCCTGAGCTGTTTCTGGGGCAACGGGTAGTGCCTTTGGGTCTGAAACAGGGGCTTCACCCCACACACTGCTCCCTCTGCCTGGAAGCTAGGACAGCTGTGGTCAGCTGCGGCAGGTTCCAAGCCCCTTCCCAAGAGCTTTGTGTCCTGTTCTCCATTTCACAGGTGAGGAAACTGAGGCACAGAGGTAGTTTTGTTTTGGGTTTTTATTTTGTTGTTCTTGTTGTTCTGACAGTGTCTCGCTTTGTAGTTCACGCTGGTATGGCCTGGAACTCACAGCAGTCCTCCTGCCTCAGCCTCCCAAGTGCTGGGATTACAGGCATGCACCACCACACCTGGCTCAAAGGTAGTTAAATCCCCGGCCCTCAAAGACAGTTCTTTTTGCCCAAGCTCTCACTACTGTCCTGCACAGGGGTGTTCTAGAGCTAGTGGTAGAGACCCCAGGCCCAGTGCTTGCCCTCCAGGGATCAGGGAGGGCTACATAGAGGAGGCAGTAAATGAGAAGACACAAGCTCCTTCCACATCAGACCCCTTGAACTTGCTATGGAGTTCAAGTGGGGCTCAAACTCAGATTATCATGCCTCAGCCTCCTGAGTGCTGGGATTATACCACCCTACCTGGCTTTTTTGTAGACACTAAAAATTTTATTCTGTATCTATTGTTCAACAAGTTGCTTTCTTCACACCCCATGCGTCTGAGTTCTCTTCCTGACAGAACAGCCCTGGCTTATCCTTTTTAATCATGGCAGAGTAGTCCACAGGATCACTGTAGCCGCAGCTCATTTAGCCCATTCTAGATTTTTTTGTTTTGTTTTGTTTTTTTTGTTTTTTTTGAGACAGGGTCTCACTATGTAGTTGAGACTCACCTGGAACTCACTATGTAGCCCAGGCTGGTCTTGAACTCATAGCGATCCTCCTGCCTCAGCCTTTTTGAGTGCTGGGATTACAGGCGTGCACCACCACACCCGGCCCCATTCTAGATTTTTTAGAGGATTCATTGTGTTTTTTATTTTTTCATGTTTCTGGGGTGGAGCCCGGGGTTTCTTACATGCTAGGCAAGTGTTTGCTCAGCCACTGAGCTACATCTCCAGCTGTTTTGTTTTGAGATAAGATCTTACAAAGTTGCCATGCTGACCTCAAACTTGAGATTTCCCTGCTTCAGCCTCCATAGTAGCTGGGACTATAGCATGTTCTACACTTAGTTCTCCATTGTGTTTTTAAAAATTGTTTTGTTCTTTGAAAAAATTATATACACATATAGTAGAATAAATGTCCAAGTGTCACAAAGGGTAATCATTAAAATGTGGTCTTTCTCATCCCAGCTGCCCTCCACCCAGGTACCCAGATTGTTTGGCAGGGTCAAAGTGTGCATATTGCTACACAAAGCCCCACCTCACCTAAAAACCCATATGCAGGGCATTTGTGCATTTACCAGGCCTCGTTTTCCCCATGATGTCCCACTAGGCAGGTCCTAGATCAGCACACTTTGTGCTGTGTGCATACAATTTTTTGTTTCATACCTTCATGTCCATAATTTATAATTTACTTACTTTTATTTATTTCTTCCAGTGCTGGGGATTGAACCCAAGGCCTTCGTACTGAGCTGCATCCCCAGAACTTCTTATTATTACTATCTTTTTGAGACAGAGTCTTGCTAACTTTCTAAATTGACCAGGGTGGGCTGCAACTCAAAATCTTCCTGCCTCAGCTTAGCAGAGTGTTGGGATTAGAGGCATGTGCCACTCAGGCAGGCCAAATTAAAAAAAAAATTTTTGAATCTGTTTTTTATTTTTGTGCTAGGTATTAAACCTGGGGTTTGGTGCATTTTAGGCAAATGCTCTACCACTGAGCCTTGGCCCCACATTCATTCATTTATTTCATTAGACACAAGAGTCTCACTCTGTAATTCAGGCTGTCCTTTAATTTACTATATTGCCCAGGCTGGCCTTGAACTTGGTGTGATTCTCCTGCCTCAGCCTCCCATGTGCTAGGATTATAGGTGCACACCATCACACCCAGCTTCCTGCCTTAATATTTTAAATAGGTTTCCAATGTTCAAGAATAAAACAAAGTGGAAAAGAGCAAAGTAAAAAAAAATCTCTGTTCCTCTTTGGTTTCAGCTGAAGACTTCAAACTTATTCTGTTTCCCATATAGCATTTAAAGACTTTCTTTAAGGCAATACATGTAAACGTGGATGGGTGTCCAGGCCTACTTTTCCTCATTTTACCAGAGATAGTTTGTCCTCTACACATTTCCTTGTTCATGTAAACATGTGTCTTTTTTCTGAGTGCAGGGAGTGCGATTGCTTCCTTTTATAACTTTTGTTTTGTTTTTTGAGACAGTCACCTGCTGTGTAGTTCAGACTGTCCTCAAACTCAACAATCCTCCTGCTGCCTCAGCCCGCCTCAGTGCTGGGATTACAAGTGGGCACCACCACGCCTGGCCTTTTGTGTCTTAATATTCTGTTGTGCAGCCTGGGTGTGATCTGTGGCCAGTTCCTTTGTTGACAGATGCTTGGGTTTTCTATTCTCTTGATGTTTCACCCCGTGCTGTGAGAGGTGAACGCTACTGATGTGTCTGTGCTCTGTGAGATTCATTTCCAGAAGTGGGGCCGCTTGGTCAGAGTGCCTGTGCATTTGTGATTTGGACAGCGATTGCCAAATGTCCTCTGTAGAGGTCCCACGCCCTCCCGGTAGGCGCCTGTGCCCACAGCCCCAGCGGGGTGAATTTTCAGGCTTCTGGATGTGCAGTCTAACAGGTCAGCAGGGCAGGTCGGTGTAGTATTGTTCTTACTGTTTAGGAGTGAGGTTTTCCTTTAAAAAATGTTTCCAAGCCTTTTATATTTCCTGGTCTGTCTGTAAT